TTTGTTCTCTGAACATCCATTAAAATAAACCACAAGCCGCCACTGCATGTTTTGCTGGGACTTATTATCAGCAACTCTACCTAACTTATATTCTGACTTCAGTGTCTTGCTAGCTAACGTATAAAATATGTGCCATTAAATAACTTTAGCCAGCTTCAGTAGTCTCTTTTATGTATAGTCTCAGACTAACTTACCTACATGGGAACTTAACATTTTATTATATTAATTTAAATACCTGCAGGCAGTAGAAATTAGCTGACTTTGGTTCATTAATTGCCTCAATTTTGTTTCAGACTCTGTGATTTGTTTCAGACTAAGGGATAACTTGCTATCAGTCTAGCAGGATCTACAAGACATTAACCACAAGCTTTTAGATACCACAAAACCTAACATTTGGTACCCAACTATATTACAAACCATGTTGCAAGACAAAGTCACATTTAGCCTGACACCAGCAAGTTTGATAGAAGTATTTGGCTTTTCCATGGACACTATGTGAGCATCAATGAAACCATCTAGTAGTTTTAACAACAGAAGTTCCTGACTCTTTTAGAAACACAGCTATCTCTTTTAGTCAGGTGTCCTCCTGACTTTTTTAGAAAGTTTGGAAATGCATCTTTTGCTATACCCACGCGGGATCAAATTCTGAAGTGGTAGAAAGGTATTGGAAAAGTTTCCAATGTGAACCAGGGAGTGAGAGCTACAAATCTGAAATATTTAAAACTGCACTTCCAAGCATTCAAGGAAAAAAACTAAATACTATAACAAAATATCCAGTTTACCTCTTACCAATAATAGAAAAAAAATTATCTGCAACTTAACACAACAAACAAACTGGCATCATTTTTGAGCTAGTGCTTTTTTAAGGCACTGATTTAAGATTTTACTCACATATCAGAACCTTTGTTAAATCTTAAAAAGAAAAAGACTAGATTCATTTAATCAGCACAAGCTGACATGGTTTTTGAAGAACTTATGTGGCAATAATCAAAGCCCATCTTAAAACTTCCTGAAGATGGTAAATTAGAAATCGTCGCAGATACATCTGATATCATGTAGGAGACATGTTTATGCAAGATGGACGCCACCAGCATAATTTAGTAGAACATTTAATTTAAATCAAAGAAAATATATCATTTCTGAGAGAGAAACATTAACAGTTCTGTTGGCTGTTCAAAATTTCACTTTTTCAAGGTACCTGTTACTGTATAATTAGATCGTGCGGCCATAGTACATCTGTATTCTGGGAAGAATTTGTCACCCAGACTCATATGATGGGTTCTATAAATTACAAGAATACATTTTAAAAAATTAAACATACTCTCAGGAAATAAAATGCTGTAACAGATGCCACATTCAAGGAATAAACTAGATGATGAGAGGAAAAAATTAATATCTGCCATGTTGACTGTAGTAATTTTAGATTCACGAGAAAGAATTATTTCAGAATTGAAAGTAGACTCTAAATTTAATACAGACTACCTATGTTTTTTTAAAAGATTCCAATCACTTTGAACCTCATGATATAATAAGACTTAGGACTAGGGCTGCTAAATATAAAAGCATTGATAATCTTTTCTATGCAAAAACAGACCCTTATCAACCACAGTTGACTATCACATGGAATGTGAACAGAAATACAGTTAAAATTGTCTGCAGCTATATAAGAAATTATGACCACTGTTAGGATAGCTGTGTTAACGAATCAATCTATGCAATAAGATCAATAAACACAAAAACCACAGGGAATATTAACGACTGAATTATTCCTTGTCAGAAAATTAAATACACCCATTGATGATTTTTTTAAAGATGAAAAAAAAAAATTATTTGCAGACATTCTGAAATTAGTGGATGAGGCAATGTGCAATTCAGATATGGTTCGTGAATAAAAAAAAAAAAAAAAAAAAAAAAAAACTGTTATGATTAAAAGAGAGGCGAGATTGATTTTAAAATGGGAGATACTTAAAAAAAAAAAAAAAAAAAAAAAAAAAAAAAAAAAAAATTTTTCGTGTATATAATGAGGAAAGGTAGAAAAATTTTGTAATAAGTTTGAATGATTCTTTTCAATCGAGAAAACCAAGGAACAGAGTGTATTTAAAAAGACAGAATACTGAATCACAAAGGAGAATGTAGATCAGGTAAAAAATATTATGAACAAGCTGAGATTCCATTTATAAGCAAGGTATTGCAGGTTACTTAACATAAGATGAGGATTGACTTGAGGATAGTAGGGTTATCAAGAACATTCAGTTGATCCAGCATCTTCATCTATGTCACAAAATTCCCCCACCCCAAATAAATAATAAAAAAATAAGTAAATTAAAATTTAAAAATAGTGGGGGATTCTGGGAATGAAAAGACCCAGATTAGATGTCTCAAAAAGAAGAGCTATAGAAGATGAGCGAGCCAAGACAGAAAAGAACAAATGTCAATGGTTCAGGAAAAAAATTCAAGAATCCCACAGATATCACACCAGCTGGGTAAAAAACAATGGCAAGGTGAAGGATGGTGAAAAGGAAGATGTTCCTGGAGAAATAGATTCAATAAAAAAGACTTGGATTAAGAGGAAAATGAATTGTTAGTCAAGGTGAAATCTATGCTATAAATAGCCACCAGAAGAGAAACCTAGATAGAAATTCAAAAGAACAAGCAAGCAAAGAGCACAGATGAATGGCAGAACAGAGAGTGCAGATCGCATATGGAAAAGTAGCATTCCAAAGAAACAACTGGCTCTATCGGAATATTCCAAAGGGTAAAGAAATTTGATGAGAATAAAGGACCAAGTCCAGAAACAGAAAAGGCCAGATGATGATAACTATCAGCCTCAGAGACATACTTCAACAGAGTTAACAGAAATATGATTTATCCCACTTGAAGTGAGTCAATAGAAAAGGACATTTGACTTCTACAAAAATAAGATCGGTGAAATTTTCCTTATTTTTTCAGGTATTAGTTAATTTTACCTCAAGCAAGGATATAAGATGAATACAATAAATAAGTTTTTTCCCCTTAATGTATTTATCTACTTTTAAGAATTTAATCTTTGTATGTTAAACACTATTATGTTATGTTTGCTCAAAAGCCTGTATTGAAAAGAAATTTTGGAGGAAATACATATCAAATAATAGAAAATATTGCACATTGCTACGTAAGTTAAATCTACGAAAAGTAATCTTTTGAATTGTAGCATTTTAAATGACATTTAATATCTTGACTTCATGAATATATATATTAAAAACTAATGTATTGTAAAAGCAAAAAGTGCTCTTCATAGTGTGTATGATAAATGAAAATAAAATGATAGCATATTGGTAATGAATTAAAGTTAAGCTCTTCAGTCAACCTTTATAAAGTTCACATTGTTTCACCCAATACAATGCTGGACAGCAGGGTGAAAAAAAAGAATTTAGACGGAAAAACGTAAATTATTCCTGGAAAAAGATATAATATGCAAGACGATGAAAAAAAATGTAAAGAATGAAATTTTGCAGAATGTAAAATTTAGCATCCTGAATTCAATTGAGTATTTGTAAGAGCTGGCTCATGCTTTTAAATTTTACAACTTTAAAATCTTATCCAACGTCATTAAGACCTTCCTTTGCAATTTGTTTAAACTCTGATGTAATATATGTTAAGTAACTAATTATTATGATTTAAACCTTTAATGTAACTCTTTTCCATAGTTCTCACCAGAATGCAAATTAGGTTTTTGGGTATTTAAGCTGTTTTTAAATTGTTTAAATTAGAGCTTCTAGCAGCTGTGCCTTGCTATTATTTACTATCCCAGCTTTACTTAAGTTGCCAGCATACATAGTTTCAGACTTTTTATATATAGTCTCAGACTACGTTATTTATCTAAAAGTTAACTTTCGATTATGTTAATTTAAATACCTGTGAGCAGCAGAATTTCTTCAACTGTCACAAAAGAAGTGCAATTCTGTTCATTTAAGAATAAAATTTAAAATGTTACTTTAACCTTCTCAAGACTTATTATTATTTCAGATTAAGCAATAACTCACTACCAGTCTAGTATGATCTGCAGAACATTAATCACAAACTTTCAGATACCGCAGAACTCACAATATGCCAAATTTACATTGTTTGTTCATAACCTACATTTTCATATTTTATTAATACAAGACATTACAGTTCTGTGTTGGCAGCAAGTCCATTGAATCTTTTTTTGAATAAATACACCTGGTCTGTAGTGTTATACAATGTGGGATGACTGAGACACCAACAGCTATAACTGATGAACTCTGGCAAAAAAAAAAAAAAAAAAAAAAAAAAAAAAAAAAAAAAAAAAAAAAAAAACTACATTGGCTAGATTGGAATATTTAAAAATATTATTCAAAATCTGAGTCTGAGCAGCAGTTATTGTTGCCCACAATAGACACATTCAGTACTGATCACAGTGCATTTTACTTATGCAACTAACTTGAAATTTTTATAAATTCACCTTTGTATCATAAATGTGTTAAAAAACTTTGCTATCGTTTTACATTGCAGGTGTTGCATATTTAATATCCAGCAATTTATTTCTTATATTACATAAACCATAGACATAAATGCAGAAATAATGCCAAAAGTTTTTTTACGGACTTTTTTGAGTTTTGGTTTAATTTATACTAAGTTAAACAGATTTTATATTATTCAGTTTAGTTCTACAACATGAAATGAAGCAAATATAGTTTGTGACATGAAACAGAATAATAAAGAAGATTATTAATTGTTAGTTTCAGTGGCAAATGAAATTATTACTTTCATTTGTACCACTTAATTCTTATAAAAATTTCAATTCATGGTAGCCTATTTCTGAATAAATATTTATTCTTTATAACTAATGATGCATGCACATGACTATGTGAAAAAATAAATCTGATTATAAATTACCATATTTTTTTTTTTTTTTTAATATCACTTAGAGGCCGCACTTTAAGCAATTAACTGTGAATATATCTATAATCAGAAACAAAATTAAATGTTCTTATATTTACCATGATCGTGCTCTATTCGTACATGCCGAACTAATCCATTCAGTTTAAAAGTCAAACTGAAAATGTAATGCTCATCAGAACTGTCTCTAACTACAAATGATCCATCAGGTTCTCCAGCAAGTAACTTTTCAGCAGTTTCACCACTAATAGGTCCCCAATACCATCCACACTGTAAAGAAGGAACAACCTATTATTTAATATACATAATAATGCAATTTTATGACAGCATTCAATGGTTTAACTCAAGATTACAGAAGAATATCGGAAAACTTTCAGATTGCTATAATCTGAACAAAAAAGTGATTGGACTAGTCAGACTACAATAGATTTTAAGCTACAATAAATAAATAAATAAATAAAATAAAAATTTAAAAAAAAAGTGAAATTCTGATATAATTTGTACATATCTTTGAAATCAAGCTTCAGCTTGGAATTTATGAAATGAAACACCCTGTTTTGACAATAGGTGTGGTAAAAATAAGCAAATTCTATATTTGGAGCTGCATTTGTTGAGGACTCTAGAATAAGGAAGACCATTTATGAAATGAAGACACATTCAGATAATATTACTTCATCAGCACAAAAAATGCCAAATATTTACACAATTAGTGATAAAGCTGAACTGTATATCCTTTTAAATCAAAATGGAAAAGCACTATACGATAAAAATGTCATGAACTAACAAAGTCACAAATATATGAAAATGTATTTGCATGATTTTTTACATTTCAGTAATAAAATGCAGCTGAAATGCAAATTTCTGTATTAATTAGCAAATCCATTTTGCCTAGGCAATTTAGGGAAAGTACTCACTTCTTTAATTCCACAACACAATTTCAGCGAGACACGGTTCTTCAGTCAAATCCAAACAATTTAATACTTTTTTAACTGGTTTTAATTTGTGATTGAATTAAAATGATACCAATTGCAGTACTCTGACAATAACACTGTTTTCGCTGCTAAAAGAGGAGTTTTTGTTCTGCTGGTGGCAAATACTGAACATAAACAGTCGAAACTAGCAGAAAACAGCAACTGTAATAACTAAAAATGTTTTAAACACTATACTAACCATTAATACAAATTTATTAGATGATTTTTTAATAAATTATTTTTAATGAAAAATGCATGTTTTAATAAATATATATTCAAAATAAAAAATACCATTTTAATTAACATGTAATTCCAATAATGGGAAAAAATTGTCATTTCTAAAAAAACAGGTGATCAACTTTCTTCAACAGGTACTAGTCAGATATGATGCATTATGGAAGCCAACGAACCACAACTGACACAATTAAAGTTTGTCTCGCACGTAGCCCAAGATAAACCGAACTCAAAGCTAGTGAAGTCTCTTACGTCCAATTTGGCTTGGCCACCTGACATATTTCAAAGATAGCTTCATGTTAAGAGGGCCATTTTGTCAAAAAGAAAATTTTAATATACAATTTGTAGTCATCTCTCAATACCATTATATCTATTCCTTGCACTGGTATGCCGTTAAATCTAGTTCAAAGTTTTTTATTTGCAGAAGTACTGAGTAAAAAAGTTAAGTCGATTGCATCACCTGCAAGAAAATTAATATCATTACATCCTACAGAATGCAACAACTCTATTAAAAAAAAAAAAAAAAAAAAGGCATCATCAGTAGTCACAATAACGTATTTTCTAGGACAGAAGTTAAAAAGGTATGCAGTCATTTACATGATAATTTAGCTCTACTTACAAAGAAACTAAAACATGATGAAGAAGAAAGACAAATATGCCAAGCTAGAATGTAAGATTTTTGTCTTTGAAATAACTCCAGAAAATATGCAGATTTTTGATGCAGAAATAGCAAGGTTCTTTTGACAGTTGAACTATTCCATTCCCTGACAATGAAAATCCACCCTTTAAATGACTGATTACTACGAAAGGTTACACGTGCCTTAAAAAGAAACAAATGACTGAAAACCTGCTAAGTATAGAACATAATAAACTGATATCAAATAATGAAAAAAAAAATTGGCAAAAAATTTACAGCGATTCAGAATGCTTAGAGCAATATTCATAACGAATTCAGTTGATACTATTTGTATGGATTTTGAATATATTTTCCTTAGTTCCTTAGTTCTGTAAAAACAACATTACAAATATTCTGCTCATCTTAATGGACGGTATATTATACCAGCATTTGTTACTGTACATTGTAGAGTCATTGTTATATCGGAGGAAGAAGATAAAAAAATTTGCAATGGGATTCCAACTCTGGACATCCCGAAGAAAAGCTGAATGTGTTTCCAGTTACATCATGAAGACACGGCGGAAACGAGAGAGAAAAATACCTTATAGTATAATACTTAACAATACATAAAAATGATACAGAGAATTGGGTTTAAAGTACAATAAATTCAATCATGAAATAATTCAACATTATTGCATATGAACTACATAATCAAATAAGCAAAAAAGAAATATTTACATTCTGTTTTATGACAAACCATTCTGTGCTCTACACTATAACTTTTCTATCAAAGTTAACACCTTTTCTTCATATATGACTCTAGGTTTCAGCTTTTAATGATTGAGTTTTAAGAAAAATAGCAAGTTTAAGCATGTTAACTCTTGTTTGCACAATGTGTCATAACAATCAAATATCATGTGCCAATAAATAGTGGCAATATACATGCTAACCATTTCTATAGCATTAAATAACAACTCTTAAACTTGAAAGATCTCATGTTGTACTTTATGAATACAAACATGCACATAATTTGATTATAGTATAATTAAATGCTTATTACTTAATCATCTGTTTAATAAAATCTTTTTCAGACAGTAGAGAGGAGTTTATGGTCAGGGTTTGTTTTCATATGATTAAAAAATTATACTTAATATTCTAAATTATTCATATAAACAACAATTAAACAAATTTAGAGCTGCAGAACAAAAAGTCAGGAAATAAAATGATAATTACAAACCTAGCAGGAAGCAACTTCAGGAGATAAAACAATATTTTTCCATTAACATTGTACTACTCGGCACTTTTTAACCCTTTCGACCCCATCGGGACATATATGTCCCGCAGATATTTCCAAAACATCAAGACAAGTATTGTAAAATTAATTTAGGACTAGGGAACTGAATTTCTCACTGTATTTTATACCGTTACTTCAACACCACTGGGGCATATGTATCCCATCTAAAAAAAACAGTGGGACACATGTGTCCCACCCACCCCCGTGATAGCCTCCACAGTTAATTTTTGTTTTTATTTTGGCAGAATATTACTATTTCTACTTCTATGTGACCTACTGAAGCCCCTTTTCTTCTTTTAAAAAAGTTAAAGCCCTAATTTAACTTTTTTTCTAAGAAAAAAAACTAGTGCTGAAAGGGTTAAATTTCGGTGTTACTTCCTCAGTATGTTTTATTTGGCTTCTTTCCTGGCAATAATTCTTTTTATAATGATCACCCATACAATTTTTATCTAATCATAGTTATTATTTTTTTTTTAACTGCAATGGATTTCATGACTTGGGATTTACCAAGAGATGAACAAGTGGCTATTCTATTTTTTTTTTTGGGGGGGGGGTCCAAAATAACTTTTCATTGAAGAAAGATTGTGTTAGAATAATCACTTCATGCAATGTCACTCAAAACTAAAATGACTATGCAGCTTTCGTCCATGCCAGGGAGAAAAAGTATCTGAATATAGTTTGCTTGATCCCAAATTAATTTTGTTATTGCCATATTAATCATTTACTGATGGTGTCAAGAGTTTTTATGTTTTATGAGCTATAGCCTCAAATGAATTACAACACAAAAGTTAACTGGAATAATTACATACAAGAGGTATACATAAATATCTTGTTACTTTGTTCTAATGTTAAAATTCGTAGACACACACACACACACACACACCACAAAAAAAAAAAAAAAAAAAAAAAAAAAAAAAAAAAAGAATAAAGCTTATTCACAAAAGGGAAAAATATCACAGACAGCATTCTTTCCACACAAAAGCATTTTGGAGGAGTCATGAAACCTGAAAATGTTTCTTTGTGGCTATTCCTTATCTTTTCCATACAAATTTTAATGGCATGATTTAGGAGGAATATCATTGCTACAACCATTATCTGACTGCTGGAATCGATATAAATTATTCAATTTGCAAGCAGCCAGATAGATATTTTACAGTAAATCAACTATGAACAGATATTTCATAAAAAGGGAAAAAATCCATCTGATAGTGAGTGGAAGGTACGAAAAAAGAAAGAAGCCACTATGGTGCCAAAAAATGAGTCTTATGGCTACTCTGTTAATTAAATTGCAAATAAATGCACTTATTATTTCATTCTTTAGCTAAAGAAATCTGTATTTTTTTCACTTGATATAAAAAACACTATTTGATTACTAATTTGAATTTTCTGAACTGCATGACCTCATTCAGTCATAAAATTTATTGGCAACTCGGTGTATATTACCTTACCATAAATATTTTGTTCTCTTAGCTTCTTTAACAGTCTAATCCTCCTCATAACAAATGGGAGAAGTTTGTGGAAAAAAGTAAAATAATTGTACAAATTTAGTAAATAAATGCCATTTTAAACACAAATCTTCAACAGAAATCCAAAAAAGCAGCACTGTTCAGAGTAACAGTGATTGGAAAAGATGAATTACATAAAAAAACATGAAATATATTTATAAAATATACCTACATCTTTTACTATTTCAATACTAGCTGCATAATCCATTTTTCTTCGAACAAAATCATCCTGTGATTCTTTGTCATAAATTTGGGACTGGCATCCACTTAATGTCCATTGTTCATCTTCTTCAGTACCATCCCACTCTGGAATTCCATTTATTGGTAATGGTGGTAGTGCCCGGTTTGTGAAAGGACTTGTATTGGGACTAGACTTTTTATTGCTTAAACTATTAGATGTTGTGGGCAATTCATCATCAGATTTTGAAATAGATAGGCCTGGACTCTTTTTGAGGCCAAAAAAATTATTAAATGCACTTTTAATAAAAACTGGAAAACTCTTCCTCTGATACTTATGTTCACTATCTGCTTTACTTTGAGATCCATGTTTATCGTCCCTTTTGCACTTTTTCTGTCTTAGATATGAACCAAGAAATCCAAGAGAGGACTTCCCTTCACTGGACTGGACACTTTTGGAAGATCGTGCATAAACTGCACGTTTTTCTTGAGGATTCAAAGTTTGAAGGGATGTATGAACTTCTTCTAAAGTCATGTGAATAGGCTCACTATTTGGATCATAATGCGAAAGCTGACTATGAGAAGCATCACTTTTACAAAAGATATCCCAGGGCATACTAAAACGTTTAGCTCTAGTTTTTGGGCTTTCTGTTTCTGTAGTTGAATTGCTATGCTGAGATAATTTGCTTTGAGAATTTTTATAGTTCATTTCATCACTTCCTTCTTCAGCACCACTTTTTGTGCATTTTTGATCACGGCGTGTTAGAGTACTCATATCTGACATACTTGATCTATGACCAGCTGCTTCGCTAAATAGACAAGAATTAGATGTAGGAAAATTAGATGCTGTGACAACAGATAACTGTGAGGTTGTGTGCCTGGCCAATGATTCTGATGGAGGCATATCTAATGATCTGCTAAAAAAATAATGCATCCCTTCACTCTGTGAAAGACTACTAGATGGACGTTCATGGAAAGCAGATACCCTATCATGATGCTGTCCTATAAAGGCTAAAACATGCTGACTGTGAAGAGACTCAAGGCTACTATGATAATCCATCCTATTAGGATTAACAGGAGGCCTTACAGCTTTTGGTTTTAACACAGTGGTGTACTTAGATCTCTCATTCTGACAACGCTCAGATTTACACATGCCGATATGACACAAACAAGGACTATCTCTTTCCTCTTCACAATAAGGCTCCTCATCTTCACAGATAGGAGTTTTCTTCTCATCAGGTAACTTAACAGACAGATGGTATTCATCGGCTGCTACAGAAACATTAGATGGAACATAATATGCACTCAGAGTTTCATCACTGTATGTTCCGTCAAATACTTTCTCATCAGATGTATCTGTTTCTGTGTCATGTTTACATTGAAGATCATAATCATCTTCGCTGTTCACTTCCCCTTCAGCATAAATAACATGATCTTTACACTCTCGAATTGATGACAAAGTCCCACACCACTTAACATCTGAAGAGCAATGAACACATTCAACACAATTCCTGCAACGGATGTAATGCACTTTATGACATGTGAGGCATTCTCCAAATTCAACATGACTTCTACTTTTATCAGCACAAGCATCATCTGGATCATCACTGTTCCTTGAGAGACAAATACTAAATGCTGAAATTTGTCCCTTAAAACTGTCCAGCCTTTTATCATCATATATACCCTTTGATAAATTAGTGCCTGCTCTAACCCAAGAAGCATCTGTTGTAAAAAAAGTGCAGTTGTGCTCTGAACCACACTCATTATCACTTTCTGAATGCATATCACCAACACTTGGAACTGATTTTTTGTCAAATGGAGATTCATTGAAGTCAGAATCATCAGTGGATTTTTTGGGAGATTTCGGGCTTGTAGATTCTGACCCATCAAAATTCAATGCTGTGGTCCCATCACTGTACATTTTGCTTTGCCAAGAGCTCAAAATCATATCCTTTGAAGGTGAAGGTAAAGACGTTTGAAGCAAAGATGGTCTATTGTTTTCTCCTTCAAATCCACTATCAGTGCTCATATTAGGAGATTTAACAGATTCTGTGGTATCTGATGGGGTATTAATGGAAACAGGAGGTGCTTGAGGAGCACACAAAGATTGGTTTACAGATTTTAAGGATAGAGAAGCTGGCTTCACGGTTTCTTCCATATTATGATTTTTCCTTCCAGATATGTAAGACAAAGTTAAAAAGTAAGGCCATGAACATGGGCAGCAACTGACAGTACTAACTTTCATTTTGTTGAAGTCTGAAAGTTTGGCTTTTATTAGAAGGGAAAAGGTATTTTAAACCCACAAAGTACAAAAGCAGCATATTAGTCCTTCTTGTGTAAATTGCAATATTTTCTGCATGAATAGCTAATTTTTTACGAACTTTAAAGCAGAATGCACTGCAAAACATTTTTTAACTCTTGGCATTTCACTTTCAAAACCAAATTTTCATTCAAATACCTGCAAAAAAAGAGCAAGTTAAAAAATATTTATCTTCAAAAACAAAATTAATTTTCAAGTTTACACATTATAAACTAAATATATAAATTTCTAAGCTTAGTAATCACCTAAAACTGAATTTATAGCCTAACACATTTGCAGCATGTTCAATTATAGTTATTTATTATAATAAAGTATAAGTACATTTTGCAAAATCAGCATTGTGTACATAATAGTCACTGCATTTCAAAATACTTTAAAAGGCGGACACACAACTGCTAAAAGATTACAAAAAGTATTTTTACTTCTCTTTAGAGCATGAACAGTATATATCACATTGTATACTGCATTATAATATCATATGTACTTCAATGATAGCAACAAAGACTAAATATTGTAGCAGATATTAACCTACATCTAACCTTAGTTACTGTCAAAATTGAAGAGAAATCAGATCCCCCCCCAAAAAAAGTATTGCTACCAACTTATAGATAATCAAAATCAAGGAAATTAATAAGTAATCTGATGACAAAAATTCTCTACAAACAAATTATGCTAACAAACTGAAAAATCCGAGGAGAAAGCACACTTTCTGAAAATATTGTAGTTCACTCTCAGCTCAAGAGACATTTGCTATCCCTTCCTCCAACTAGAATATCTAAGGATGATTTATCAGGATCAAGAAAATCTATTGTGAAAAAATTCAAACATCAGCAGAATATATTAAATAATTTTTGGAAGTGCTGGCGAAAAGGTAATTTATTAACCTTGTATCTCAAGGAAAGTCAGTTGACAAAGGGTCCAATATTTACTCGCTGAATCCTGAGCTCGATGAACACAGACATCTACTGTTAAAAGGCAGAATACAATTTGCAGACTGTCTGGAATTTGCCAAGCGTCCATGAAAATTTTCGTCAAAGTGTTGATACGTCGATTTGTTAATTGTCAACGTACATGAAAGGGTATTTCAATCTGGAGCGGACTCAACTCTGATGCACCAGCACGAAAAATTTTGCGTTGTCAAAGGCAGACAGCAAATTATATCCTTGTTGAGCAGATGCGTGATTTGCAAAACATACAGTGTTCACCCTGGAGTTCAAGATATAGCTCCACTTCCTCCAGATCGAATTCTTCAGTCACCACCGTTCGCGGTAACTGGATTGGACTATGCTGGACCATTTTTCTCTAAAGAGAGCAAGAATAAACATTACCTTTTAGTATTCACTTGCGCAGTAATGCACACTATTCATTTAGAACTGGTAACTTCGATGAATACAGAAGTGTTTTATTGTCCTTTAGAAGATTTACAGCGCGGCGAGGATTATGTTCAATTATATAAAGTAACAATGCAAAATCATTCAAATGCGCAGACACTGAACTAAAATAACTGTGGACTTGCATTTCTGATCCTTCTGTAAAGAATTTCTTCTCTTCTCACAGTATTCATTGGAAATATATAACTGAAAGGGGAGCATGGTGGGGAGGATTTTGGGAAAGAATGATCAAAACGATCAAAACAAGTCTTAGAAAAATTGTTGGCCATTCATCACTCTCTCTCAATGTGTGTGTCTCAACAGTGTTCGTTGAGATTGAAGCCATGATCAATTCCAGGCCCATCACTTACTTATACAGTGAACCCTCAGAGCCCTCTCCACTCACTCCTGCACATTTTTTAATAGGTAGATGTTAACTAGAATATATAAGGATAATTTATAAGGATCGAGAAATCTATTGTGAAAAAATTCAGACAACAGCAGAATATATTAAATAATATTAATAATTAAATAATTTCGAAATGCTGGCGAAAATGCACGTATGCTAAAGGAGCTCTTTTTTATTATTCGCAAACCTCTGAAATGTATTTACAAGCAACACGCTATGTCAGCTAATTAGGCAACCCAAATATCAACATTCGTGCAGCAGATGAGCACAGATTCCTGCTTCAATTTTCGATGATCATTTTTCTGATTAGCATTTTTTTTTTTATTTGGTACATCTTTTCCTCATAAGGAACTACAATAGGACTAGGAGTCTGCTGGTTACACAGTTAGTGTGGTTAGACTATACCTGTAGAGAAAACGGAGAAATTCTGAATATCCCAAAAACTTTTATCTGTACTTGATGAAAAAGAAAGCATTGCATTTCTTCAGAAATAGTACATTTTGGCAACAGCAGAGAATGCAAAAATTGACATTCCATAAAGCTGTACTTCTTAAATATTTAAATCTTATGGATCGAAATTTGTGCATGATGCTGAATTTGTACAATTATATTTTAAAAGCAAAAACAGATTGTTGTGCACTTGGAAAACAGTTAAAAAATTACACTAGTATTTCTTGAAAAAGGTAACTGTTCCATTATGAATATTTCTTAGCTTTTCGATTTTACAGGTTCATTGATCTCCTATAGAATTTTTAGTGCATCATCATTTTAAAATGGCTTTCATTTGCATATTATCTTAATGAAAAATTAAGCTGGCAACTTTTCGGAGGTAATGCGTATAATCAAGGAGTACCAATAAATGTTAACAGATCTAAATTATACGTGTTTCTGTCATTATTAACATATTATTACTAAATAGTCAGGACATCAATAAGAAACATTAATAAAATAAGGGAATTTCTTTCTCATTTTTTTTTTAAGTCTCAAAAAATTCTACCATTACTACAATGCATATCATAGCAAGAATAAATAGAAAATCACGGAATGAACCTTTTCAGAAGCACAGCAAAAGTCTGTATGCTTAGAAATTAAGCAATGTCAGATTATCAAATATTAAGATCATCAGATTAAACTATATACAGTCAAAAGTCGTTAATCCGGACTCGTCGGGACTTCGGCGATTCCGGATTATAGATCATCAGTTTAAATCTCATAAGATGGCATGCAGAAATTCTAAAATTAAAAATATGAAACCGTAATTTATGAAATAAAGAACAATTATGATCTAAAGGGTATCAAAATTTACAAAAAAAAAAAAAAAAAAAAAAAAAAAAAAAAAAAAAGCTTAATATTTATTTGTTTACTTTATTAAACATTTCTTTCAATGTAAGTTGTTTAAGCTGCTTCGTTTTATGTGATAATACTTTCTCTTTAATTCTATAAACAGACGTAATTTCTTGTTCAGTTACAAAGTTCCGCTGTTCAAGTCCCGTAATTGCTGTGCCGAGAAATACTGACTAACTGTCAATCGAAATTTTTTCGTTTTCACTAACCTCTCTGTCACCTTCTTTATGTCTTTATCCATTTTTTGCAGCAATTCCACTTTTTGTTTGATGGACATCGAAACATACTTTCGTTTTGGAGATCCTTTGGGAGCTCCAGCATTGGAAATTCTATCTGACATAATCGAAAGTTCAAGTTTACTTTTATAAAATTGCTCTTACAGTCTGCAAAAAATAATAAGCCGGATCCAATTCGAAGATTAAGAAACAACGCAATCATCAACATTAACTGAAATAGATAATTAGATAATTTTAGCTTATACCGTCCGTTATACATAAAACGCGCACGCGAAAACGTATTCTGCGCTTGCGCACACGCGCATTTGTAAAGGTCTTAAGCGCACGTGTAAACGCCTGTGCGCATGTGTCAACGAGGCGCATGCGCAGAGCGTTTTTAGCTTTGAGGTCGGCATTATCTTTACTTCATTAATTACGGTTTCATATTTTTAATTTTATAATTTTTGCATGCCATCTTATCAGATTTAAACTGATGATCTATAATCCGGAATCGCCGAAGTCCCGACGAGTCCGGATTAAAGACTTTTGATTATATTACTGTTTCCCGTCTTTTTAAGTAAACCATTTCAAACTTTTCAGTCTTTTAAAGGTTAACACATAACATAACATATGAATCCTGTTTCATAAGTCCTGCCAGTGGTCTGCCAAGATCCGGTTCCTGTAAGAACAAAAATCTTCAGGGAGACGAGTCACATGGTGGAGATCAACCGTTAAATTTTTAATCGGTAACAAGGGAAAATATAGCACAATAGCATAAAGAAATAATACCCAGTCACAAAATAACAATGAAGGAACCTCAGTATCACAGAAGATGAATGACATGAGGTCACAATAAGAGCTCGAAAATACACAACCTTGGCTTCCAAAATTCGAACCCTCATCTATGGGGCCTAAAAACAAAAGTGTCTCATGCTGCTAGTCGTCAGTCTGCGTGGAACCACGGTTGTTAAAGAATAGCTTTTTTGCATAATAATTGAGAAGATGGGAAAAGCATCCAACATTTGGATTGATGATGGTTGTCAAAAAAGAATTCCATCGGATAGCAATATCATTGAACAAAAAGCACTCAAAATTTACAAACACCTTAAAGAACATGGTGAATCCTCTGTCAACCCAGATTTTGTGGCACGTAAAGGGTTGGTTCGAAAATTTCAAAAAGCATTTTGCCATTTATAGCATAAGAATTCAAGGAGAATCTGCATCGGCTGATTATGAAGCTGCTAGGATGTTTCCTGAAAAAATTCAAAATATCATAGAAGAGCAGGGATATGCAGCAAATCAAGTTTTCAATGCCGACAAAACTGGAATGTGGTGGAAAAAAATGCCCAGCAAAACCTTTATATCAAAAAAAAAAAAAAAAAAAAAAAAAAAAAAAAAACCATGCACCAGGATTTAATGTGCCAAAAGATCATCTAACACCAGTCTTGTTCAGTAACACATTGGGGGACTTTATGGACAAAACCCTTGTTAGTTTACAGATAATTAAATCCTGGTGCACTTAAAGGCATAAATAAAAACATCTTATCGGTATACTGGAAAGAAAATCAAAGAGCTTGGGTAGCAGAAATTTATTTAAAGACTGGTTTTAAAATTGTTTTGTGCAGACAACATTATTTAAGACAGAAAAATTTGAGCTTCAAGGCATTATTACTATTAGATAATGCTTCATGTCACCCACAACATTTGAATCAGCCCAAAGTCAAAATACCATCTAACACTACTTTGTTACTCCAACCATTGGATCAAGGTATTATTTATACCTTTAAAATGCATTACACA